TGGCATTGGTTTTTCAATTCGGGCAGCCCGTCAGGGCTCAGCCTCTGCCAGGACTCTGCCAAGGCAAGCTCATTCGGACAAACTCCTGTGGTAAGTATGTTTGCCAGGTCTGTCTGCTGTCTGTTTTCTTTGTGGTATGGTCGGAAAGGAGAAAAGACCTCAGGAGAAGCTGTCTCTCTCTTGCTCTGTGCTGCTTGGGAGATCGTTCATGGTCATGTGGTAGAGAAATTGCCATATTGAATGATAGGCAGAGCGAAGGGGCTTTAGAGACACAACCACTGCCCTCACCCCCCCATCTCCCGTTCCCAGGTCCCCTTGTCCCCTTGCCCAGGCTCAGTAGGTGCAAGTGATACTTGCAGGGCGTAAGCACAGGGCTGAGTTGAGTCGAGACTCCCTGGGCACTCCCACTCCCTTTCCCTTCACAGTTCTATGCAGTGGGTCAACAGGGTTTCTAAGGCGTCCTCCGCCTCTGCATCTGTGATTTCTCTAATCCTATGTCTTGTCTTTATCCTGGTTTCTTAGACACTAACCTGGTATCTTGGGTCAGCAAGGAATTTTTCGGAAGGTGAAGCACAGATTTAGACTGTCTCCCTCCCTCTCTCCCCTTTCCCTCTTCTTCCACCTTCCCTTTCTTTTTTGTCCTTTACTAAATGCTTGGGCCTGGGACTCGGATCCACACCCCAGTGATGGAGGCTTTCTGATCAGATCTGCTGTGGCTTGTCTCTCTTGCTGTGGGGCTGACACCTCTCACTTCCTCTAAGCTGGTCAGAGTCTGGTGGTTGATGACCCATCTGGTTTCTGTCCTGTCTACACGCTGCTTCCGGAGAGCTGTCTGAGCCAGAAAACAGTTAATTCCTGAGAGAAGTGAGCTCCTGTTCCATTCCAGTCAGTTTTAGGCTTTAAAATGTGTAAATCTTATTGAATAAGCCTCAAGACACTTTAAACATGCATCTTACTGAGGCAATCGTATTGATTTTTGCGTGTTGAACCAGCGTGCATCCAGGGCCAGCTTTTTACTGGGGTTTATGTTAATTCCTGGGGTCAGTGAAGACTGGTCCTGCCCTCAGAGCACAGAGGTGGGCCAGGGTGTAAAGGAGAAGCTGTAAACCGAGTGAGAGTTGCCTAGGACAAATCTGCTAACAGGAGCAGTCCTGCCTGGGAGGACTCTTCATCAAAGGGCCATGGCCTAGAATTTGTTCCTTTTATTTATTTTATTTTACTGTTTTATTTTATCTCATTTTATTTTATTTTATGATTCACTGTGTTGCCCAGGCTGGTCTTGAATTCCTGGGCTCAAGTGATCCCCCTGACTTGGCCTCCCCAAGTGCTGGGATCATAGGCGTGAGCCACCATGCCTGACCCGGAAGCTGTTCCTTTTCTATCACTGATTTAAGCCATAAAACTTGATGTCTTATCCTCTGAAAACATGCTCAAATAAAACATTATGGAATTCTTACACATTTTATTAATTAAATTTAAGGCCTTGTCAATTTCTCTCTAGTATAATTTTTATATGTGTTTTCTATTGAAAATTTATAATCTAAATGGGTCTTTTATTTGGCTATATTAATGAAACAGAAAAGAATGGACAGTGAAATATCCCTTTTACAACAGAGTGAGAAAATGTAGATTACAATCTCGGGAATAACACATATTTTCTAAATGTGTAATTTAGAAGTTTTCTTTTCTCCTCTCAGTGGAATCTCCTTTATTTCACAGTTGATTTGTTTTTGCAAATGGAATGCAGAAAGGGGCCCTGCTATGCTAATTTCTAGAGGGAGCATTTGATCTTTGCAAAACCATGGAAACATTCACCTCTGCCTTTTAAATATGCTATAAATGATTTGGGGGCCACCAGCTAATCTTCCTACCCTTCAGTTTCCCTTATGACTAGGTGAGTAGGTAGAATTTTTATCACAAGGTTTTTGCCTCAACTTTCCGAATAGCTGGGATTTCAGGCGTGCGCTACCACGTCCAGCTAATTTTTTGCATTTTTAGTAGAGACAGGATTTCGCCATGTTGCCGAGGCTGATCGCAAACTCCTGAGCTCAGGCCCACCTAGGCCTCCCAAAGTGTTAGGATTACAGGCATGAGCCACCGCGCCTGGCCAAAACAAGCTTTTCATGTATATAATATATATAATGTATCAATCTTTGTTCACTGCAAACTATTTTTGGAAGCTGGCAAATAATAAATTATAATAGAAAAAAAATGACAATTGTTGGCAGAGTGGCCAGGTGTGGGCCTGGGCACCCTGTTCTTCCTGCTCAGCCAAGGGCTGTTGTAGGAACATTGACTGGGAGTGACTGAGAGGATTCAGGGTGCACCAATGCCAGGCTCAGGCTGAGCAGCTGGGTTGGCGTGTGAGTCTGGGACCCACGGCCCCAGGAGGAACTTTGGAGTCAGAAACTTCTCTGTTTTCACTGACTCCTGATCTCTCATAAACATTGAAAAACTTGAGCAAGTCAGGCTGAAACTATCAGGAGCTGAAACTTTATTTTACTTTTAGAGTCAGCGTCTTACTGTGTCACATAGGCTGGAGTGCAGTGGTGCAGTGCCATCATGGTTTATTGCAATCTTGAATTCCTGGGATCAAGTGATTCTCCCACCTCCACCTCCCAAGTAGCTGCGAGTACAGGCTGGAGCCACCATGCCTGGCTTTTTTTTTTTTTTGGGGGGGGGTAGAGATGGGATCTTGCTACATTGACCAGGCTGGTCTTGAACTTCTGGCCTCAAGTGATCCTACCACCTTGGCTTCCCAAAGTGTTGGGATTATAGGTGTGAGCCCCAGTGCCCAGCAAAGGTGTAACTTTATAACTAGATCTGGAAGAAATATAATTTTATAAATCCTGTTCTAGGTTTCTCCAGAGAAACAGAGCCAATAGGAGAAACATATATAGGGATTTAGTGCAAGGAATTGTGTTACTTGATGGTGGAGGCTGACAAGTCCAAGATGTGCAGTTGGCAAGCTGGAGCCCTGGGAGACCCAGTGGTATAGTTGCAGTCCAAGGGCTTGACAGGATTGAGGCCCAGGAACTGGTGTTCCAGTCCTGAAGACCCTGGAGGAGGGGGGGGTCCGCCTGTTTGCTCTATTCAGACCCCAGCTGATTGGATGAGGTCCACTTCACTCACAGTAAGGAGACATCTGTTTTACTCAGGCTACTCATTCATGCTCATCTCACCCGGGAACACTACCACAGACACATTTAGAATCATTCTTGACCAAATTTCTGGCCACCCCATGGCGCAGTGAAGGAGACACATATTATACAGTTAGCCTTCACAGATCCTAATGGTGGCTGCCATTTACTGAGGAGGAGCTCTGTGCCTGGCAGGTTTCCAGGTGCGGCTCCTGGAACTCATGTTGTCCTCAGCACAGTTCTGAGGTGGGTGCTGTTACCTCCCCCACCTCTGAGGAGGCGCAGAGTAGGCAGCTTAACCTCTTGTATAAAATAGGGATCCCTGAGGTTTAGACACGGCAGCATTATTTTCTGACCCCTTCTTCATTTTTTTTCTTTTGTATTAATTTCATTTACTGTTAAATGGGGTTTTAAATTATGAAAATAATAACACATGCAAGTGGTAAAACTTGAAAGTGTACCAAAATACAGTCAGTGCAGAGCAGTTCTCACTCCACCATCAGTGCAGTTTAATGGGTAAAAAATTCATTCCAAGAAGTTTTTATGCACATACTCGTTTTCTAAAAAACACAGATGGGACCATATCCTATTCCTTGATCTGCATTTTAAGATGATTAACCATATTATTTAAAATGAATTCACATGGTATTACCTTATTCTTTAAAATAGTGACATAATATCCCATTGTTTGGCTGTATCATCATAATCATAATCATCATCATCATCATCAGTCAGTTAATTAAACCAGGCTGTGGTCTGAATATTTGTCTCCCCAAAATATGTATGTTAAAACCTAGTCAGCAGTGCAGTGGTATTAGGAGGTGGGGCCTCTGGGAGGTGGTTAGGTCACAGGGGCAGAGCCCTGATGAGTGGATTAGTCCTTATAAAAGAGGTTTTGGAGAGCTGGCCTGTTCTACCCTGTGAGGACAGAGTGAGAAGGTGCCATCAGTGAACCAGGAACCAAGCCCTTACCAGATGTCTGCTGGTGCCTTTATCTTGGACTTGTCAGTCCTCAAAGCTGGGAGAAATAAACGTTTATTGTTTACAAACCACCAGTTTATGGTATTTTGCTCTAGCAGCCCGAACAGGCTAGGAAAACCCAGGAGTTCTCAGTCCTGGAAAACCTAATATTTCTTTTTAGAAGAAACATTTTGTAATTCCTTTTTTTTATTACCCTTAAATGAAATTCATAATGAATCCTCTTAAAAACATAATTTTATTTTTATTTCTATCTTTTTTTGAGACAGAGTCTTGCTCTGTTGCCCAGGCTGGAGTACAGTAGTGTGATCTCAGCTCACTGCAACCTCTGCCTCTCAGGTTCAAGTGATTCTCCTGCCTCAGCCTCCCGATTAGCTGGGATTCTAGGCATGTGCCACTACACCCGGCTAATTTTTTTGTATTTTTAGTAGAGACGGGGTTTTGCCATGTTGGCCAGGCTGGTCTCGAACTCCTGTCCTCAAGTGATATGCCTGCCTCAACCTCCCAAAGTGCTGGGATTACAGATGTGAGCCACCGCACCTGGCCAAACACATAATTTTAAAAGAATCAGCGTAATACTTTACCGTACTATAAAGGAGAAACTAAAGAAAAATGACATAGCCTATATTTCAAATGTCACTGAGGGGACGTAGCCTCATTAGGACACGTAATGAGCAGTTAGGCCCTGCCCCCGCAGGTAGAATTGCTGTGAAGGGGGCAGCCACAAAGGCAGTGAAGCATGCTGACTACTCAAGGGTTCAAGACAGAACCACTGCAGCAGCCGCCTATTGATGGGTGCTGTAAGTTGTTTTCAGTTCTTGCATTTTAAATGGTGCCTCAAGCGCCATTCCTACTCACCCTTAGGAGCATTGGCTTAAAAAGTGTGCAACAGGAAAAATGCATACAGTTTAAAGAATACACTTTGAGGTTTTCCACCTTCATCACATTCCCAGCCCTCTGCCTTTCCTTCCAAGGGAATGACTTGCTTGTGTATCTTTCCAAAAATGTTCTGTGCTTGCGTTTGTATGATATGTATGTCCCCTGCCCTGCTTTGAAAGCTTTCTACACATAGGAACATACACTAAACGTATTGTTGCCTTTTCTCCTGAGTATTGGAGACCTTTCCACTTAGCATCCATCCATCATATTCTTTTTGCTGGCTGCCTATTTTTCGTTGTCTATAAATCCCATGATTGATTTAATTAATTCCCTATTGTAAGACATGTAGATTGTTTCCAGTATTTTGCAAATACCACTGGCTAGGGGATAGCCATGTTCCCACATATTTAAAGAAACAAGTGATGAAAGTACTTGTGCAAATTCCTAGGCTGGAGACTGTAATTTGATGGAGCGAGTCATAGAGGTTGTGTGGTATGTGTTGTTCAGACGACGTGGGAGAGTATGTGGGCCCCCACTGTCTGCACCCCCGGTATGAGCACATTTGCTCTTTGCCAGCTGAGGTGTATAAACGGCAGCAGCCCCTGATCTTGATTTACATTCCTCAATGTGTGGAAGCCAAGCGTTTTCGGTATTTCCTGGAGGAATTTTTATTGTCTTTTCTGTGATCTGAGATAAATGCTTAACAGTTTCTACTTTTAGCTCATGGAGTGATTGCCTCCAAAATTCTAATTACTATTTATATCCTATTTATATACTTCCCTTTCCATCCCTCGTGTAGCACGTCACTGCCTGGTAGGCTTGGATTTTGAATACCACGCGGCACCTGCTGGGCGTACGTGAACCTTATATCAGGGACTCATCATATAGTTTATGATTTGAGTTTTTAAATTTCTCAGACATGTGTCTTAGAAAACGGACCAATCACATACTGATAGGTGGTCCATCAGAGTGTGCTCTGGGAAGGGCTATAGAGGTCTCACCTTTTAAACTGCTGTGATATTGGCAACTGTGTCAACACCAGGGTCCAGTGGTGTTTCTATTTCCAGAGGAGTATCTTGGAGGACCTTTATTTTAAGTTTTCCTTTCCTCCCTTCTTTTCGTTTTTCTTCTTCTCACCCTCTTCTCTCCCCCATCTCTCCTTCCCACTTTCTGTTTCCTCTCCTCCTCTTTCCCCCTATATCTCTCCTTCCCCTTGCTCCCTCCTTCCTTCTTCTCTTCTTCCATCCCCACTCCCCTCCTTTCTCTGTTCTCTCCTCCTCCTCTTCCTTGCAGAAACGATGACTTTCTTTTTTTTCTTTTTAATATTTATACAACTGAGGTGGATCTAGTTTGGTGATGCCTTTGGAAGCTTTGCAGCATTCAGTAGAGCGTCTTAGGTACAGGCAGCAGGCAGGTCACAGGCCGTACTGGGTTAACGTTCTTTGGTGCTTTTCCAGCACATGGAGGAAGGGAAGTTGGGCCTATGGTCAACTGGCCCTTTCCCAAAGTTGAGTCTGCAGGTCATGAGTGTGCAGTAAGTCTTTTGAATTATTAGCTGGAGTTAAATGAGAAGGAAGAGGTGAGGATATCAATAACGTGAAGCGGGAAGGCTGAAGACTGTGAGTTCTGTGGAGGGAACCTGACCTGCAGGAGAGAGGGAGGAGAGAGAGAGAACACAGAGCTCCAGCCAGCTCACCCTTTGGGGTGACTGGAAGCTGCCTAGAAAGTGGTTTTACCCTAATTTACAAATTTACTGCTCTATTGAGGCCTTATCTGATCCAGGCTCACTTCCTACTCTGCCACCCTCTATCACGATGTTGGAAAAGAAGGAGCGCCTAGCAGGGTGGGCCTTTTGAGCATGGGAGTCCACAGTGTACCCCTTGGAGCCCAGCTGCAGGGAGAGCAAGGTGGACAGGTGGTTTCATCCAGAATTGGGTTTTGCTGTATGGGTGCCATGAAAGTCCCACGGGAGTGAGGGAGGCTGAGCCTTAGGCACCAGTGTTGCTGGAGCAAAGGGCTGGGGGATTCCAGCTGGACGGGAAAGGGGCGGTAGAGGCCATGCAGAGGGATCGAGGGTCTGGGGGTCTCCAGATGGAATAGTGGGGATAAGTGAGGGAGAGCTGTGAGGGTGGGGGTTGCAGTCAGGGAGGGGAGCATCTGAATTCCAGATTTCAGAAGTGATCCAGGTGTGGCTGGCAGAAGTGGCATGTGAAAGGAGGGCCATGGAGGTCCCAGACTTGAGAGCCAGGCAGTCAGGTGGTGTCAGGTGTGGGGGTGGCAGCGGCAGCCTGGATGAGTGACTGCACTCGGTGGAGAGGACGGCCGCCAACCTCTACCGGGGCAGAGTTGCTGATGGGTGGACGAGTGGGCATAGGCAGGGGGTGACCTGCTGATGGTGACCATCAGACCCTGCTGATGGCCTGAGTCTCAAGTGAGCAAGGATTTTTAAAGGCAGATGGGAGAAAATGAGGGGGAGGTGGCCCAAGGAGCCAGAGGATGCCAGCACCAACTCCAGACCTGAGTGTGCCAGCTCAGAGCAAGACCCTAATCTTGACCTTCCAGGGAGTTTAAACCCTAGTTTGATTTTGACCTAGATGATGGAACTTTTGCGTGGTACAAACTGAACTTTCTTAGTGGGAGAGATGGAAATGGTTGGAAAGACAATGTTGAGCTAAGCCTGTGGTCAGGGCCCCTCCTTCATACCCCAGCCATGCAGAGAGGGAGAGCCATGCTGAGGGACCCTGATGTTCTTCTCTTAGTAGGAATTCTGTTCTCTTTCCCAAACCAACATGTTTGGTTTCATCTTATCTGATAAATATAATTATGCTCTTTTGTTCAGCTTTGAAAAATCCTGACCGTAGACCATTCAGGTGGTCATACCTGCAGATTTGAACTCGTTGTCCAGTGCTATTTTAACTGTTGTTTCTCCCTATTTATGTGAGTAGAAATGAGAAGGGGCAAAGCTGACTTTGTGACAGGTCCTGGAAGTTTTCTGTGCCCAACCTCTCTTCCTTTGCCTTTAATCTGAGTTCAGGCTGCCTGGGATGTGTGGCAGAATGGGCCTGTCCAGGTGAGGATAAAGCACCACCTAGTGGGCCAGAGACGCACTAGCAACAGGAGCCAGGAGCCTTCACTGGGTTTTGCAACTTTTGAAACGGATTGAAGGAAATGGGAGTTAATCGTAGGAAGAGACTGCCAGGGTTAAGGCCAATGGCTCATGCCTGTAATTCCAGCACTTTGGGAGGCCGAGGCAGGAGAATCACTTGAGCCAAGAAGTTTGAAGCCAGCCTAGGCAACATAGTGAGACCCCCATCTCTACAAAAAATATAAAGATTAGCCGGTGTGGTGGTGCATGCCCTGTAGTCCCAGCTACTTGGGAGGCTGAGGTGGGAGGATCACTTGAGCCCAGGGTGTAGAGGCCGCAGTGCACCATGATTGTGCCACTGCACTCCAGCCTGGATGACAGAGCAAGAGACCTTGTCTTTCTTAAATAATAAATGGTGACAGGTAAGGCAGGCAACTTTAATTGTGTAGAAGGAAAGAAATCTTCTCTCATCTCATCTTTTCTCCTGCCTTGTTCCATCTGCCTTTATTCTCTTCCCATCCACTCTGTTTACTGGAACTAATTCCAGAAGTAGTTTTTGTGAGGGATGGTTTCATTATAGTCAAGCGTGGCTGTGTTTTTCTTGCTTAGACTCATGTAAGGAGATTCTGATGGAGGTGTAATTTCAGTCCCATGTGGTGAACTTTATTCAAGCTGTCAGTGATTGTACTTTACAAGACTTTATTTATTTGTTTATTTTGAGACAGAATTTTGTTCTTGTTGCCCAGGCTGGAGTGCAATGGCACAGTCTCGGCTCACTGCAACCTCTGTCTACTGGGTTCAAGTGATTCTCCTGCCTCAGCCTTCCAAGCAGCTGGGACTACAGGCATGTGCCACCACACTCAGCTAATTTTTTTGTATTTTTAGTAGAGACAGGGTTTCACCATATTGGCCAGGCTGGTCTTGAACTCCTGACTACAGGTGATCCACCCCCCGCTTAGCCTCCCAAAGTGCAGGGATTACAGGTGAGAGCCGCCGTGCCTGGCCAACTTCACAGGACTTTAAATTAGCTGTGCGTTAGTCAGTTGTTGCTATAGAAGTGCTAACAGCCTCCAAATCCTAGTGGTTCCTACAGCATTTATTTCTTGCTCACAGACATGGGTCACGTGAGGATTGGCTTTGTTTGTCTCTTGTTTGGAGATTTGGGCCACAAAGTTGGGACCTACCTAGGGACGTGTTCTCCTCTGGGCAGAAGCCGAGAGCTCAGGAGGACAGACCCAACCATGCCACACAGGCCTGCTTAGAGCCTCCCACTGGACATGGAGTTATGTCGGCCACAACGAGTCATGTGGCCCAGCCCGAAGTCACAGAGTTGTGAAATATTTTGCGCATATTGGGCAAATAGTGAACCATAACAAGGGTGATTCAGGAAGGATGCAGGAAGAATTGTGGACAAAGTGAACAGCTTAGACTTTAGAATATTCTTAGGTGACAGGAGTGGCACTCAATGGCCGAGGTACACTGGTGGCCTTCATGAAAGCCTCGTGGTGCCAGTCACCTCTGAATTATTGGCTTCTTCTATTAGCCCTGCTTGAGGAGGGGGAGGACATGACTCTTATGGCCTCGAGCGGAAGTTGGCAAACTCCTGTAAAGGGTCGGGGAATAAATCTTTTAGGTTTGCAGGTCAGAAGGTCTCTGTCTCAATGCTTGTCTCTGCTGTTGCAGCACATAAAGCAGCCATAGACTCTCCCGGGAGGAACGGGTGTGGCTGTGTTTCAGTAACACTTTTCTTTATAAAAATAGCAGGGGGCTGGGTTTCCCCTTGAGCCATAGTTTGCAGACTCCTGGCCTAGACCTTCAAGGAATGACCTCTATCATGACACCAACTTAGTGGTAAGAGAGAACCACCTCTTTTTTGTTGGGAAGCCGAATAGCATTCAAAGAGCTGTTGGTGAGTCCTGCAATCCTCC